CACAAAACATCAAGCCATTTCTCTTCTTCTTTTCTCTTTTACTCAGTAGAGTGTTGACTCCAGTCAGACCAGTGTTCCAGTCCAGGTTTTCTCTATGTTTCTATAGGTGGTGCAGACTGTTTTATAAATGAGGGAGGATGAGCGGAGATCTCTCAAGGTTGCAGGAAGTAAACCTCTTTGCCAGTTTAGCTGAGATGATCAATTTATCTTCAGAACTCATCCTACGACTCTCCTCAGCTCACATCTGGTTAATGGACGTGTTTAATGTTGGAGGAACAAATCAATGAATGGGTGGGTATGTGGATTTTCATAAGCATCGGTCACACACTCACATACTATTGTTTTCAAGAGGTAACAAATGCATATGTCTTGTTTGTGTTAAAGTGGAAGCACAAAGATATTACAGACCAAATCTAAAAATAGTTTTAATCTGCAGTTCGAAAAGTTCTTCACTTAAACAGCAGCCAATCAGAAAAAAGCTGCAAACCACAGGAAGGCTGAGAACTCTGGCCTCCTTCATGACGCTCCGAGGTCTTAGATTTTCAAACCACTCCCTGAGCTCACACTGAGCGTCGTTACAGCTCGTATGATGATAAAGAGCGTGAGCATTTAGTGGAGTGATACCACAAAGTAGCCTAAATATGATCCACAGAAAAAAAAATCTTGTCAAGTCATGGTCAACACTAAAATACATCAGCTCAGGTTGTTAGATACATGCTGTGTGATTTCTGGTCATTTCTGTGTTGGGCTGCTTCAGCCACTGTATTTATTTTAGCTGATATTTTTCAGATGAGTTTTAATTTTGTTTTGCTTTGTTTATTTATGTGAATAAAAAACCCTGGTTGAGATAATACAGCACAGACGCCCCATGAATCATCATTTAAAAACCTAAATGTTAGTAAGTGTCACCAGGTTCCTGCAGCTCTATGATCATCTTTCCTGTTCATAAATAACAACAGATATTAAAACACAAGGTACCAAACAGAGACACACTTTGTAACACTAGATACACTTTATTATTAGCTCTGTGATGAGAAGTCTTGCTGTAGCAGGAGCAGGAA